ATGCCGAGCTCAACTTTACAGCACATGGGAAGAAATGACTGAAGCCAATGTATATGTGAAGGTCCGAATAAAGTTTGTAGAAAGAAGAGAGAGAGGTAATTTGCTTTGTGACCTTATTCACATTAGTGATCATGCATGATACATCCCTTTACGAAGTAACAATTACTAGGTTTATTTTTCTGTTCATTGTTTTTAGAAAATTTTCTTGTGCTCTTGTCTCAATGGTATTTTAATATGAGGGAATGGGATGTCCCCTTCAATAACTAGCTGATGACATGGAAGGTTTATGGTCTCTTAAGTTCATCTTGGATGTTTGTCTCTCCCGCATTTGCTTATCTCTTGTAGGTTATTTCTGCAGATACGGATCGTTTGCGTCTCTGTGAACTGAATTTCCAGCTTGTAAACTTTTATGTATGGACATCCCCATGAGTCCGCAAACTGTTCTGGATGTAATCTGACTGCTAACCTTTTTTTAATCTGTTTTAGGATGGTACGACGTAATACTTCTCCCAGTTAATGACTGTAAATGGTCTTTCAAGGAGGGGGATGTTGCAGTTCTCTCAAATCCTGTTCCAGAATCAGGTTTATTTCAAGCTCTTTGGTTGTTTGGTTATTGTTGTATCATTGGTGCTTCTCTGCCCTTGTGTAATTTTGTCTTGAACTTTTCTTTGTTTTTGGTTGATTTAAGATGAGGAGCGAGAGGGTGCTGGACGTGTAGCCGGTACAGTTAGGAGACATATACCAATTGATACCCGTGATCCTCCTGGTGCAATTCTTCATTTCTATGTTGGAGACTCTTATGATAGTAACAGGTAGGCTCATCTGTCTTATGTTTTCCTCCGGTTACTAATACCATATCTCAGTGTTTGCTCCTTTTTCTGACTTTTAGTAACTCTTTTAAACTCAAAGCAAGTAGTTTCCAACTTTTCGTCTCTTCAACTGGTAATTTTCTTTTTCACCAGGATTGATGATCATCATATTTTGCGGAAGCTTAAACCTAAAGAGATCTGGCATTTGACGGTGCTGGGTTCGCTTGCAACGACGCAGAGAGAATATGTTGCGCTGCATGCATTTTCTCGTCTTAACCCACAGGTTTTGTTTTGTAATGGAAAAATTGATTATTTTCTTATAAAATATCTGTCAGAAGCTTTAGTTATGCTGACGATGTTGCAATTTTATCTCTGGCAGATGCAAAATGCAATTCTCAGGCCCAGCCCGGAGCAGTTTCCTAATTACGAGGAGCAAACCCCTGCAATGCCTGATTGTTTCACGCCGAACTTTGTTGATCATTTGCACCGGAGCTTTAATACTCCCCAGCTTGCAGCAATCCACTGGGCTGCAATGCACACTGCAGCTGGTACTAGTAGTGGGATGAAGAGGCAAGATCCATGGCCGTTCACTCTTGTTCAGGGCCCTCCAGGGACAGGCAAGACGCACACTGTTTGGGGAATGTTGAATGTTATCCACTTGGTTCAGTATCAACACTACTACACTTCTTTGCTGAAGAAATTAGCTCCTGAGAGTTATAAACAAGTTAACGAGAGCAGCTCAGATAATGTTGCATCTGGATCAATCGATGAAGTCCTACAAAACATGGACCAGAATCTATTCCGCACTCTGCCAAAACTGTGCGCTAAACCGAGGATGCTTGTCTGTGCTCCTTCAAATGCTGCAACTGATGAGCTCCTCGCACGTGTCCTCGATCGTGGATTCATCGATGGAGAAATGAAGGTATATCGACCAGATGTAGCTCGAGTGGGTGTTGATTCTCAAACCCGAGCTGCTCAAGCAGTTTCTGTGGAGAGAAGAAGCGAGCTTCTACTAGCTAAGCCTCGTGAGGAGATTGTAGGACATATGCAATACCTAAGACAACGTGAGTCTGCGTTATCTGTACAGATAGCTGGGCTTAAGAGGGACCTGACTGCTGCAGCCTTTGCGACTCGATCTCAGGGATCTGTTGGAGTCGACCCCGACGTTCTTATGGCTAGGGACCAGAACAGAGATGCATTGCTACAGACCCTTGCTGCCGTGGTTGAGTCCAGAGATAAAGTCCTTGTGGAAATGTCTCGCCTTCTCATCGTGGAGGGAAAGTTTCGTGCTGGTAATAACTTCAATCTTGAGGAAGCCCGTGCGAATCTAGAGGCAAGTTTTGCTAACGAAGCCGAGATTGTTTTTACAACCGTATCAAGTAGTGGTCGTAAACTGTTCTCTCGTCTTACCCATGGATTCGATATGGTGGTCATCGACGAGGCTGCTCAGGCTAGTGAGGTCGGAGTTCTTCCTCCCCTTTCTCTTGGTGCTGCACGTTGTGTACTTGTTGGTGATCCTCAGCAGCTTCCTGCAACGGTCATCAGCAAGGCTGCTGGAACTCTTCTATACAGTAGAAGTCTCTTTGAAAGGTTCCAGCAAGCTGGATGCCCGACTTTGTTGTTAACTGTTCAATATAGGATGCATCCTCAAATCCGGGATTTTCCTTCGAGATACTTCTACCAAGGACGTCTTATGGACAGCGAAAGCGTTTCCAATGCTCCCGATGAGATTTACTACAAAGACCCTATACTTAGACCTTACCTTTTCTTCGATATCAGCCATGGACGGGAGTCGCACAGAGGTGGATCTGTATCTTATGAAAATGTTGACGAAGCTCGATTCTGTATCGGGTTGTATATGCATCTTCAGAAAACACTGAAGTCGATGGGTGCGGGGAAAGTTTCAGTTGGTATAATAACCCCGTATAAGCTGCAGCTGAAATGCCTGAGACAAGAATTTGGCAACGCATTGGGTCAAGAAGAGATGAAGGAGCTGTATATTAATACCGTAGACGCATTCCAAGGCCAAGAACGTGATGTCATAATCATGTCATGTGTACGTGCTTCTAGCCATGGTGTCGGTTTCGTTGCAGATATCCGCCGTATGAATGTTGCTCTTACCCGAGCGAGAAGGGCTCTATGGGTATGGTTTTTGCTATTTTTATTTCGGTAAAAAAAAGTGCCTTTTGTATTGCTAAATGTCCGGTTTCTCTGTGTTAGATCTAAAACTCTTATATCTGTCATGAACAGATTATGGGAAATGCAGCTGCTCTAGTAAAGTCAGAGGACTGGGGGGCATTGATCAACGATGCCAGGTCCAGAAGCTGTTTTATGGAGATGGATTCACTTCCCAAGGATTTCTCGATACCTAAAGGACAACCTAACTATAACCCGAAGGCGCCGAGAGGTTACCCATCAGGTGGGCCAAGAGCCAGATCATTGGATATGATGCATAATAATGAATCAAGGTCAGGGACACCATCAGAAGAAGATGAGAAGTTGGGCGGATCAACGTTTTCGAGAAATGCGAATTTCCGAAGGGAGAACTCATTGGATAAGTTTGATCAACCCGGAGGGGATAATAGATACCGAGATGGTTGGCAGCAACATGGGATGCACAAGAGGCAAAACTTTGGGCGGCCGTTGGGGAAACGAGATCAGTAATTCTTCAACTGCTTTTTTTTTTTACAAGAAACCGCAAAAAACGCGAAAGCTGCCAAAATCTACTGCATCAAGGGCAATGACCTCATCACGAGTTCTTTTTTAAAAGAAGGATGAGGGGACAGAGAAATCATGTCAACCCCGTTCTGCCTTGGAGGAGTATAGGGCAAAAGACAGTAGAAATCCGGGGCTCGTCTCTTGTGCGAGGGAAACGTGCTCAATCCTCGAGAGACCTCGGCTGCACGGGAAAAGGGGTCAGTCTTTGACACAAACTGGAGAAACTATCGCTATGCTTACTGAAGCATCAGCTTGCTTTCTTGACGGAACGGAACGGCGTGGATAGAGCAGATGCAACTGAAGAGATGATCATTCTCTCTTCCGTTTTTTGCCTTAGAAGGGAACAGGCACTGAAAGCAATATATAGAGGGGAAAGAAAAAAACAAAGCTTTTCAGAGAAGTCTGCGATACGCTTATATGATGATATCACACCACAGCCCAAAGAGCAGACTCAGCTTTGACTTGTACAGCACCATCACCCTCTGCTGAATTACAGAACCTACTTCTCCTTTTTAACATTTTCAATTTGTTCATGTTTATATTCTTTCTTTTTTTATAAATACAGTTATCAAATGAAGAATCATATTCTTTAATTATCGTGTTTGCTTATTATTTCTCCACAGGTTCATTAAGATCGTTTCCTTTATCTGGGCCTTCACACAAATAATCCCAGGGAAAGAAGGTACGTGTTTACAGCATTTGAAACAACCAAATCAGGAACCAAAGTTTGGATATTTCTTTTATCCTAATCTTTGCTTAAGAACAAAAGCAAGAGGGTGCCAAGTAAAGGAGCCAAACCATGAAACATGTCAGATTTGCCATCTAATTGAGGAAGGAAAAAAATGATATAATAATCCCCCATTTCCCCTTGACGAGGAAGCGAACGAGTGGAGTGGAGAACGAGATGATGATGATGATGAAGAAGAAGCCTCAAGGAATTCTGACTTTAGTTTCTCTTCTTCCATCCTCGTTGTTATGTGCAACACGTCTACCAGCTTCCAAGTAGGGTATTTGATCTAGAACATGGAAACACCATGACGTTGTTACCACATATATACATACATATGTACATACATGCAGACATACCCGCGACAAGGCATGAATTCATCTATCGATCCACAGAAGGAAACCCAGAAATCCCAAGCTGCAACCTGACATTGCCAAAAAGACCATCTCTTCCTAGACGAGGATCGATATTCATGAAGAACTGAACTTATAAAAAAAAAAAGACAAAAACACAAACTTTCCAGGCTAGGCAAGAGAACGAAACCTTAGTGAGGAACGACCACAACCAAACTATCTAATTCTCGGATAAACTGATGACCAATAACAGCTTGATGGCTATCAAATTCGTATCTGAAACACTTCAGATTTGGGGTTCCGACCTCTGTTCTAGACTATACAACGTCGACAAGATCAATATACACTAGAGAAATGCATCTATGTATCATCAGTCATGCACGAACACCTAATTCAAACAACCAAGCTCCCAATCGAATCGATTCGCTAACAAACCTACACGGATGAAAGAACAAAATCGAGAAGATTGAAGAAACCTGAATCGGGGAAGGGGTTGAAATGAAGGACAATTGGAAAGGAACATGGCCCAAGTAGCGTTTCCTAGCGACCAAAGTGAAGTCCTCCATTTTAGCTACTTTGTGAATGCTACTTCGAAATAATATTATCTTAAAATAAAAAATACGCCGTCCAAATGAAATGAAAGGTAGCGGATCTCATCAGCCCAAGATAGCTTTTAAAAAGTCTATGACATTGATTGAAATATGAGTTACGGGGGCCCACGAGGATACGAGCCAGAGGCCCAAAATAAATTAGGATGAATATTTTGGGTTTTAAAATTTTATTTCTGTTGTTTCGGAACTGGTTTTTACTTTTTTATTTATAATTTTTTTAAAATAAAAAGATTCTGGTTTTCATAATAAGTTATTTTCTATTTAAAAAAGGAAAAATATATTCTCTAGTCTTTTAAATGGACTCGGATTTAACTCACGATTAATTTGATTCCAACAGGATTCACTTAAAATTATAGAATTATATATTATTTCACTATATTTTGGGATAACAGGATTTCGACCCTACTTACGTAAGTATAAAAATATGAAAAGCTAGATTGTCTGCCACTAACCACCCCTCTTTTTCTTTGGAATTTAAATCCATATACTTATAAAACGAATTAATTTGGTCCGTTAATTTTTATTTTCATTATCATTATTATTCTTAATTAACACCACCAATTTTAACATTACCAAAAAAAATATGTTTCCCTTGAAGAATATCATTTTAAATTGTCGACCAAATTTTGTAGCAATGCGTTATTTTATAAATCTTTGTAAAATGTTTGGCGAAACTTTTTATTTTATAAATCTTTTGAAGGTATATAGAATATTTTATAATTTTATTTTAGGGTTTTGATTGTTAATAAAGAAATCCACCAATCAAGTTATATAAATAGAAAGGTCATTTCTTAGAAGGAAGATTCCCTTCGCTCTAAACGGCCCAAAGCCCCAACACCTTCGTCTTCCTTTATGTCCAATGCACCACCTTTCATCTCTCTCTCTCTCTCTCTCTAATCAATCAACAAACATAATAAAATAATTATTAAAAATTACAGTTGGATATACTGATATTTTAATTTCTAATTGTAATAATATTTAGGGATTTGTCACGACAATATTTGTTAAATATTGAAATTTAGGTGAAAAAAATCAGAACTTTTGAGAAATTCCACCTTTTCTCTTTCTCAATCTATAAAGCTATGGCTTCGACCATAAATATTCTTAGGAAAATGTTTATTATTATTATTATTATTATTGTTGTTGTTGTTGTTGTTAACTATTATTATTATTATTGAGTTGTTTTAATTTAATTGTTTACCGAAAACTATCTAGTTAATGAGTCTATTACCATTTCTAATTAACAATGTGAAAAACCTTAGAGAGGGAAAGGGAACAGAGAAGATTCAAGACACAGTCTTAAAAGTTAAAGGTTGTACCTTTTATTTTTTTCTTAATTCAAAACATATATATATATTTCCTTATTATATTAGGAAATGCTTAAAAATTTAAGCTTTTCAAGCAGATATTTTTCCAAAAATTTTCCCAAAAAAATTGGGAATGGACAGTTCATGCAATTAATTCCGGATTTAATTCCAGATTTGAGCGTTTATGGTTTTGTAGTTCTAAAACCTGAAAGCCGGACTGACGCAGTGGCACAAATGTAGAGAAGACACGACAAAGGTATCGTTTTCTTTTTCATTTCATCGGAATAAAAAGTTCAGTTTTTTTTTTCTGTTCTTGTCAAGCCCAAAACTTCTTGTATTCAGATAATTATAATATTATATATATATATATATATATATATCCTGCAAAATTCCAGATTCTTCAGAACCCAGAATTGGTAACGACATAATGAATAAGCGAAACCGATAAAGTTTTGGTTTTTCTGGAATATTTTTTCACTAGTGGTTCTTTGCATTCTTTTACGTCCGTATAATTGCAATGATTTTTTTTTGGTTAAGTAATCTAATTAGAATTTACAGTTCATGTGTTCTTGTGGGTTAGTGATAAGCACGCCTGGCTTCTCATCATTCCCTCCAACCCCCCTCTCTGTCTCTCTCTTTTGTTCCTTTGCTTTTTCTCTCTCTAAGGTTTCATTGTTACTCTGATTCTCTCTCTAAATAAAGCCTCAATTTTCTTGTTTATCTCCTCTTTCTATCACTTTTTTGTACTCTGCTTCTGTTCATCTTTGATTCTCCCTGAAAACTTTTTGGGTACAAGTTTGTAAATCCGTAATTCTCTCCATCAGATTGGATCTGGGTTCGAGCTGAACGTAGGTTTTCAACAGGTAAAGAGAGTGAAACGATTCGGCGTTTTATCGACATATTTTCTGCTTTATATGAAAATTGCAGTTCTGGGTTTGCTCGTTTTGCTTATTTTGAGATTTTGATTGATCTGGTTAGGGGTATATGGTTTCTAGAATTTGTCTTGATTTGTTGATCCGCTACAAATTTAGTTTAATTATTCATATTTACTTGTGCCATCAGTCCTTTGGCTTTGCCTTGGTTTTGGTGATATAATGATGCTGGGTCGGAAGTGTCCCCTGTTCCTTCACCGTGTTTCTCGGTTAGTCTGAGATCATTCTCTGGGAAACTGAAAATGGATGAACCCTTGTCTGAAAAATGTTGGCTCCGGTGCCATTTCCGTATAGTTATATAATCTCTAGAGTTTTCCTTCCCTAAACCCTTTTGTTCACGGTGTAGTTGATTACACATTTCCCCTGAATCTAATGTATTGGAGATTGAATCGAGGTTAAAAGAAACATCTGCTTTTTGTGAATTCTGAAGACGAGATGTCTACTGTTATGTCTGCCATCCCCGGGAGGATTTTCTTGTAAACTTCTCTTGCAGACTTTCCTCATGGATTTCAATTGATGTGTGCTTCATCTTCCTTTAATTGGTTTTTGAGATCTCACTAGTCAGTTGAATCTAATAATGGCTTTCTGTCGTGTCCAGAAACAACCAATTCGGATGTTTTTTAGTCGAAGACAAGGTTGATCTCTTCTGGAATGTGGGATTTTTTTCTCTTACAAGTACATTTTCAATTGCTACCAGTTTCTTGCCGATCCTCTGTTGTTTCTCTACTGGAATTTGTTCTTAATACCTTTTAGCTTTTGATACATTTGATGTGTTTTTTTTATTGTTAGGTTAGTCTTCTCAACAGTTGCAACGTTTGTGAGGTGAAAAGAGGTAAAGGCTGCTTAGTATGGCTGTTTCCATGAGAGATTTAGATCCAGCTTTCCAAGGAGCTGGACAGAAAGCGTATCCTTCATTTTCTGGTGCCAAGCAAAAATCTTAAAACTCAATTTAGTTTTACCACATTGTGGACATATGGTATGATTATCATAGTATTCTTCAAGCCAACGAACTGCAGAGGGTTGAGATATGGTTGGTTAGATGATCACGTTTATCTTGAATCTAGTATTTTTTTTTGGGCATAGCGTGTCTCTGCCTTCCCAATAGCATATGTTTCATGGAATCATACTTCATTTATTATATCAACATGTTCTTGTCCTTGACGATGAATTAGTGGGATAGAGTTATGGCGTATTGAGAACTTTCGACCTGTCCCAGTTCCAAAGTCTTCCCATGGGAAGTTTTTCACCGGGGATTCCTATATAGTATTGAAGGTAACCTGTATCACTATACTGAAGTCATGTTGCATGAGTTTCTGCAATGAATTTTGGTTGATAATTCAATATGATCATCTTTTATGGCCAGGCAACAGCCCTTAAAAATGGTGCCCTTCGTCACGACATACACTATTGGCTTGGTAAAGACACCTCTCAGGTAAGCCTTTGTCTACTTTTTCCGTGATAGGAAGAAGGAAAATTTGAAATTCTGTTTGAGGATGGCGAATTTCTTATAATAGGATGAAGCCGGAACTGCAGCTGTTAAGACGGTGGAATTAGATGCTGCTCTTGGAGGACGTGCAGTTCAGTATAGAGAAGTTCAAGGTCATGAAACCGAGAAATTCCTGTCGTACTTTAAGCCATGTATCATACCTCAAGAGGGTGGAGTGGCATCGGGATTCAAACACGTGGAAGCTGAAGAACATAAGACCCGTTTGTTCATTTGCAGAGGAAAACACGTTGTCCATGTCAAAGAGGCGAGCCCATTATTTTCAGTTTTTTTTTCTATTTACTCGATGGGTTTTTCCCAAAGATTTTGCTGTTACGCATCTCTCGCTCGGTTTCCTCATGCTGCTTGTTTGTGCTTATTACAGGTTCCATTTGCTCGTAGCTCTTTGAACCATGACGACATTTTTATTCTTGACACGAAGTCCAAGATTTTCCAATTCAATGGAGCGAATTCAAGTATTCAAGAGAGAGCAAAGGCACTGGAGGTTGTGCAGTACATCAAAGATACATACCATGATGGCAAATGTGAAGTTGCTGCTGTTGGTTAGTGAGCTATCAGTAGATTGAGGGATTAATGGCTAAACATTTATACTATTTGAGTTGGTCTAATTGCATATTTTCCATGCAGAGGATGGCAAACTTATGGCTGATGCTGAAAGTGGAGAGTTTTGGGGTTTCTTTGGTGGATTCGCTCCCCTTCCTAGAAAAACTGCCAGTGATGAGAAAAAGCCATATGACTCTGATAGTACCAAACTTTTTTGGTAACATTTCCTCTTCCTATTTCATTTCTGCATTATCATATGAGCAAATTGAAAACATTAATATTGCTTTCTGAAATGACAAAAAGGCTTTCTCTTTACTCTCATTTGGTTCTGTGTCAAAAGAACTTGTCATTTGATGGATTTTGGGGCCAATTCTTTCCTACTGAACCATTTTTTTCTTTCGGAATTTCAAGGGTCGAGAAGGGTCAGGCAAAACTAGTTCAGGTTGATTCATTGAAAAGAGAGATGTTAGGCACTGATAAGTGCTACATTCTTGATTGTGGGCTCGAACTATTTGTGTGGATGGGAAGAAACACATCTCTCGATGAAAGGAAAAGTGCAAGTGGAGTGGCAGAAGTAAGTGTTATTACTTAGCAGAAAGTTCAATTTTATTTTGTTGCCATTATGTTACTGATGTTGTTTCCACACAGGAAATGATCCGTTCTTCTGAAAGACCCAAATCACAAGTAATCCGAACAATAGAAGGGTTTGAAACCGTGCCATTCCGGTCCAAGTTCGATTCCTGGACTCAAGAAACAAATGTAACTGTGTCGGAGGATGGTAGAGGCAGAGTTGCTGGTCTGTAATAGATAGCCAAATGTTACTTACATATATGAATTGTACCCCGTTTTTTAATATGCCGTGCTGATTAATTTTATTTCTTTCTTGCAGCTCTTTTGCAACGTCAAGGGGTGAATGTGAGAGGCCTGCTGAAAGCTGCTCCTTTGAAAGAGGAGCCCCAGCCTCACATTGATTGCACTGGAAATCTGCAGGTACTAAATGTTTCTTTTGTATTATCCTCACTGATCTTATGCTCTCAAACGGTGAATTAGTTAATAATAAGTATTGTATATTGTTATGAAGTTTTGACATCTAAGATCAAAAGAGATCAATGCAGTAAAACTTCTTTGCACAGGTTTGGCGTGTGAATGGTCAGGAGAAAGTTCTTCTTCAAGGTGCTGATCAGTCAAAATTCTACAGTGGAGATTGCTACATATTCCAGTATTCTTATCCCGGGGACGAGAAAGAGGAAGTTCTTATCGGGACATGGTTTGGGAAACAGAGTGTGGAGGTAAACCAACTTTTATTGTATTTATATACTATCTGTATTTGCTTAAGAATATCTTAGCCATTTTAAACCGTTTTTTTTCTGGTGTGTTTGGGGTCACGGACAGGAAGAAAGAGCTTCTGCAGTCTCCATGGCGGGCAAAATGGTCGAGGCAATGAAATTCATGCCTGTCCAAGTAATTTTCTTACTAATCTATTTTAGTATATTCCTTGAGAAAACTTATTTACGGCGGCTTATTATGTATATTCCTGAAAGTTTTTTTTTTTTCATTTTCTTATCTTTAGGTTCGCATTTGCGAAGGAAAGGAACCCATCCAATTCTTTGTGATAATGCAAAGTTTCATCGTCTTTAAGGTTTGGAGGAAATATATTACATGCTACAATGTTCTTTTTGATTATCCATGTTTTACTCCATCATGGTTATGTCTACTTCCTGCTTTGATTTCGATGTATCAAATTTGTTGAATTTTTCAGGGTGGTCTTAGCAATGGGTACAAGAAATACATTGCAGAGAAAGAAGTTTCTGATGACACTTATAATGAGAACGGTCTTGCGTTATTCCGTGTTCAAGGGTCTGGTCCCGAGGATATGCAAGCGATACAAGTTGACCCGGTAACTCATCTTCTCATTTCACTATATTACACACTTCTGAAAATCACCGGGCTTCACATATTGAACTCGATACAAAATCCCGAGAGATATTTCTATGAAGGCCTCAGTTTTAATTGTCTGTTTTCGGGTATAGTAAAAGCAGACTGCTAATCTTTGTCAGATTTTTGTTTATGGATATGGAATAAGAAACAAAACTATGATTGGAACTGATATTCTCTGATAATTCCTTTAACGGTTTTCGTTTATGCACTGTGGGTATCGGTATTTCAGGATTCAGAACAATCATTGGCTTATCACTTTTTGTCAAATTTTTCTCCATAGGTTGCTTCATCCCTGAACTCTTCATACTGTTACATACTACATAACGGTTCAAGTGTCTTTACTTGGTCCGGGAATCTTGCAACCTCGGTTGACCAGGAACTCGTTGAAAGACAGCTCGACGTAATTAAGGTGAGATAAGTTTCTCGATAATTTTTTTGAAACTCTGTTTCGTTATAGACCGGCGTAAACTGTATAGGAAGGAAGTTAATCATATGTGAACCAGAACGAGTAAAGGTTAATTCAATAGACGTGTAAACATGTTTTCCCCTCTTTCAGCCAAACCTACAGACAAGAACACAAAAGGAAGGTTCAGAATCTGAACAATTTTGGGAATTATTGGGAGGAAAATCCGAATACCCGAGCCAAAAGTTCACAACGGAACCCGAGACTGACCCTCACTTGTTCTCTTGCACATTCTCGAGAGGTACAATATACTCAACCATTCATTCTCATTTGTTAAACCCCTCTCCCTTTTCATCTCTTCGGTTTATCTTTCGCCTTCATACACTATAACTTTCGTGTTTTCCATCTTCTTCTTCTTCCGTGCCTCGTTGCTGAAACTCAACAGGGACACTGAAGGTGTGTATGATGTTTACTCTTCCTCTTCCTCATTGCCCTTCAGATCATGTTATCTATGATGGATTTATATTAAAATTGGAAAAATGCTTTTGGCATTGAGCTCTCAATCCATGTGATTTGTCATATAATAATACAGGTGACAGAGATATATAACTACACCCAGGATGATTTGATGACTGAAGATATCTTTATTCTAAACTCTCACTCAGAGATCTTCATCTGGGTTGGGCAAGAAGTGGACTCCAAAGCTAAGTTACAGGCTTTAACTATTGGAGAGGTTAGATTTCTTACATCCTTCAGATTCATGTTTGCATCGAGCTTTGACTCACTGTTAGCTGAGGCTAAATGCATATCGATCCATATTTTTCCTTTTTCGATCGACAGAAATTTATCGAGAAAGATTTTCTCCTGGAGATGCTATCACGTGAGGCCCCGATATATGTAATCATGGAAGGTAGTGAGCCGCCTTTCTTCACCCGGTTCTTCACTTCTTGGGATTCCTCGAAATCTACTGTAAGTTCCTAGTAACATTGATTGGTTTTCACCGAGAAATCCCTCCACCCTTACGTTGATTTCAAGATGTTCCTTTCGAGCAATTATTCTGAAAAGGTTACAACATGTTTGTTGCAGATGCATGGGAACTCATTCCAAAGGAAACTTGCAATAGTAAGAAATGGTGGCACTCCAGTTGTAGATGTAAGAATCTGATCCCACCACCATTGCTGAATTTTGGGGGCATAAAATTCCGTTCACGTACATGTTCATTCTTCTGTTTTACTCCTTAATGATCAGAAACCGAAAAGAAGAACACCCGTTTCATATGGCGGTCGAACCAGTGTTCCCGACAACTCGCAACAGCGTTCTAGGAGCATGTCTTTCAGTCCAGACAGGGTTCGGGTAAGAGGAAGATCCCCGAAGTTCAATGCACTAGCGGCGACATTCGAGAACCCGAATGCTCGGAACCTCTCGACACCTCCCCCAGTCATGAGAAAACTCTATCCGAGATCTGTTACTCCTGATTCTGCGAGGTTGGCTCCCAAGTCTTCCGCCATTGCTGCTCGTAGTGCCATCTTTGAACAAGCAGCGGCTATACCTCCACGGGAACATATCTTTCCCAAATCACTCAAAGGTATGTTGCTCATGTTTCTGGGTAAATTTTTCCGTGCATCGTTTGCAAAAATCTACAAGTTCTTATCTGGATTCTTCGAGATTTTGTATAGTAGTGTAGAAATTACCCTCCTTTCCACTGAAAGTGCCGAACTTTATATCGTTTTTTCGAAGTTCACCTGAAGAAACCCGAGCCAGTGGCACCAGAATCCAACTCAAAGGAGAAGGATGGGAAGGAGAACAATGGAAAGGAGAATTCGATGAACTCGATTCAGGAAGATGCTAAAGAAGGAGAAGCTGAGGAAGACGAAGGCCTCCTGACATACCCTTTTGATCGCCTCAAGACAACCTCAACCGACCCTGTCTCGGACATTGATGTAACGAGGAGAGAGGTAAGTGCTGTACATCGGAAGTGGAACTTTTCCGGAACATTCTTGGCAAGAGATTCTCTGACAAAGTGAATTTCTGGAATCTGCAGGCGTACCTGTCGTCGTCGGAGTTCAAGGAGAAATTCGGGATGGCAAAGGAAGCATTCTACAAGCTACCGAAGTGGAAACAGAACAAGTTCAAAATGGCTGTTCAACTCTTCTGATGAGATCTCCTTCCCCTTTGGAAAAAAATTCTCCCTCTCCACCATTGCAGGTGTCCAGCAAGAACATCAACTACGTACGTTTCAATCTCCTTATCAGCTTTTCCGTTCCTGTTTCTTTTTTTAGTCTGTAGTATCATTGTAAAATTTCTCAACTATTTTGATAATATTTATATATCTTAGTATATAATTTTTAATATATTCTCTTTCGGTGGCAGCAGACAGAAGAGATTCAAGGGGCAGAGCGTCGGTGCATTCTTAGCTGCTTCTGCTCCCTAGAGAGATGCTGCATTTTCATGGCTTGTTCAAACCAAAAACCAGTAGTTTTTTTTTTTCTCATGAGGTGTTTGCATGCCTATTGCCTAGTTCTTTTTTTTTTTTTTTAATTTCATTGGTGGAGTTAGATTTTTTTTTTCCCAGTCACTGGGTTGACCTTGAGTCCTTGATTTTTTTTTTGCTATCAAAATGAGGGAAATAATTTAGGGAATTCGTTGGCTTGCAATTTCAGACTGTCTTTAGGGTCTGTTTTTTTTTTGCATGACTGAGGGTGAGGGTTTGTTTTTTTGGGTGTACAGCAGAGAATGTAGAAACTACAAGAAAACGTGTGCTTTGTTATTTTATTTTTAAAATCTTCATTTATTATTTACTCCATCTTCCCATTCATCCGCCATTTCTTGTCGAGAATATCATCTATATCGCAAAAAATGGAATCTATTATGTTTATTATCTAATAGATTCAAGTTTAAATATTGAAGTGTATGTGTAAAGAATATCTCTCCACGTTTTAAAGTTTCATGCAAGAATGGCAATAACTATTGAAATCTAAATACAACGTATTTGAATCTACGGTTAGTTGCATGAAAACAAACGTATGGAACTGTAAAAAAAAAAAAGGTAGATTGAAAAGATATATCTAAGCTCTCCGACGGCGAAGATTTCTATTGTCGAAAGTCTCTTCTACTATATCAAACTATGTAGAGAGGAACCAAGAAACCGTGATCGAGTGGTAGAGTGTCATTGGGGTGCCACCTGTCCCAAAAGTCCCATGTCCGAGTAAATTTTTGGGAAAAATGATGCAATTTAATTATAGTAAGACTCAACATAGATATAGTTATCCAATCTGGGTAGTTCAACCGGTGAAACGGGGTGTAAAACGTCTGTTCCGCCCCGAGTTCGAACCCCAGACTGGGGAGGGTGCGCATAATTCAAATCACATGGCTGGCTCCCGATCCCGGGATTAGTCTGGGCCTCGGCTCAGGAAACCCGGTTACCAAAAAAAAAACATAGATATAATTGGATCGAAGGTTTAATACAAAAAAAAACATGTAGAGAGGTGCGCAAATTTCATAAAAACTCACTCAATGAATTCTAAATACGTTGAGTTTAAGAAATAATTTTTTTTGTAATGAAAATTAAATCCGAATAAAATCAAATCGAAATAAAGAGACATAAAAGCCGAACATATATAGTTTTATAAACTGTAAAAACTGAATAAAAATATGTGTTTTGCGGTCATACACGAAATCTCAAAGCTGAAATTTGGCGAAGGAGAAGGAAAAAAAAAAGGACAAGAACAAAGAAAATATTGTTTATGGCAATGTTGCCATGTGAAGATGTCGATGTCACCAGCTAGTTATAAGTTATAACCATTGACCCATTTGTTTATGGAACACACAATAAAAAATATCAAATTATAACAAGTTACTATCCATCAAATTTGGATATTTTTAATTCAATTCATCATAAGTATTTAAATTTATAACTTTTTATTTTTAGAATTTGTGATTTATTTGGATGTTAAATTTATAACTCGTATTTGGAAGTTGTCGTTGTGATGATATATATATATATATTAGTTTTAGGGTTTATATTTATGACAGTTCTGTGTTTGATATTGTAATTAATATAATAAAGTTCATAACGTTCTCATTCAATATTGTTGAAACCACATTGATTAAATTAATCAAATAATCGGGTGATCAAAAACAAAATTAACAACATGTTGTTGTCTTCATTCGAACTCATTGATGTAAGATCCTAACGAACTCTTTTTTTATTTTATTTTTTAATTCTTAATCTGACAAAAATCCCATTTGCAAAAAAATGAAAATGAAACCTTAACATAATTGCAATTTGGCATCATAATTATTAAATAACAGTTTTTCCCCTCTCTTGTTTAGGTAGTTGTAAAGAAGTGGTAACATGCCTTTGAGTTGGCAAAATATATGTATGCACAGACACATCCACGAGACCCCACATAATTAATCTTATCCGGATTGAAATCGATTTTAAAATTAATTACGTACTATTTTTAAAATTTAAATTAAATGAATCTTAATCCAATATAAAAATATACATATATAAGAAAACGAAATATTACAGAAAATGAACATTTTAAATTAAAATCAAATCCATATATATATATATATATATATATATGTGTGTGTGTGTGTGTGTGTGTCAGTTTTATTCCCTAATACAAATATTGAATATTTTTCTTAACTGTGATAGAGTAAATAATAGGATATACCTTTGAAAGATTCCAATTTGTGTTTTTATTTGATAGATTATATAATAGAAGAGTAATTTATATATGGTTTTAGCATATTTTAAAATAGTCTTTTGGAGATTGTTTTATTTTCGCATCAATTATTAAAGAAATAAAAAAAAAATATTGGAGAATAAAACGAATTTTACATGTTCAAACACGACTTCAGAATTATTGTAGAGCAAACGTTACGTGTAGCACTAGGACACATCCTTAGACAAACGATTTCAATCCCCTTTTCCTAATTACTAGATTAACTTTCGGATAATTTACTCGATTTTGTAAGAACATATTTAATTTCGATAATTTTCAGGATTTGCACATGTAAATTACATACATCACGGAGCTAATTAGTTACCAAAACTCAATTATATATATAAATGTACTGTGAGTCTCGCCTCGCCTCAGCCTCAATGCAAATTGTCAACTTATATGATTTGGACAGAATACAGGGTGTAACACTCACATTGCCTGTGTTCTGTAATATAATATCTAATAATCATACCATTATCAATTTGTTATTTTTCGCATCTTAACTAATCCATTATACACATGCCCTTCTTCTATATATATTGTATATGGACCATCTCAAAGCGAACATTCCACACAAACAGCAGTAAGAAACACCAAACCATGGATTATAAGACAAATCAAAGCTCTTTCCTCGTCAATGTTCTTCTTCTTCTTCTTCTTTGTTCTTCGGTCTCTGCTCAACAACTTCGGACGGATTTTTACCGAAATTCGTGTCCGAACGTGGAAACGCTCGTCCGGAACGCTGTCCGACAGAAGTTCCAGCAGACGTTCGTCACCGCTCCCGCCACCCTCCGCCTCTTCTTCCACGACTGCTTTGTCCGTGTACGTATACATATACTCTACAATCCCTATTCTCTATATATATATATGGATGTTACTTAAAAGTCTTCAGTTGTCGTTGACATGAGTTTGTCTCGTCGGATTTGCGAGTCTTACGAACGTTTGAGGTACGTGACGTAGGGATGTGACGCGTCGATACTGATAGCGTCGCCGTCGGAGAAGGATCATCCGGACCAGCTGTCGTTGGCCGGGGATGGCTTCGACACTGTCGTGAAGGCCAAGCAAGCCGTCGACAGCAACCCTAACTGCCGCAACAAAGTCTCTTGCGCCGACGTCTTGGCTCTCGCTACCCGTGAAGTCGTCCTCTTGGTAATCATTTCTATTATCTCGATACCATATATATACCAAAATCTTTAAATTAACACGTGTCGATCCGAACAATAATATCGTTAAAATATACTGAATTTCTATAGGAACTTTCAATATTCAAATGTTGTTAATCATCATTACTATGAAAATATAAATATTTCGGTTGCCGTATATAGTATATTTTGAAAGTTGGTGTATTTAATTAAATATTATTATGTATTTACGCGTGAACAAAAATGGCAGACCGGAGGACCGAACTACCCGGTGGAGCTAGGGAGAAGAGACGGCAGACTATCGACGGTGGCCAGTGTCCAACACAGTCTCCCGCAACCCGGTTTTAACTTGGACCAGCTCAATTCCATGTTCTCCCGTCACGGTTTATCCCAAACCGACATGATCGCCCTCTCCGGTACAATCCCAAACCGGACTTAACCGGCTTTTGATTTTCCCCCACCGAAAATTCATCGCATTCTTCTCCTCCTTGTGACATGACAGGAGCGCACACGATCGGATTCTCGCACTGTGGGAAATTCTCCAAGAGGATCTACAATTTCAGCCCGAAGAACCGGATCGACCCGACATTGAATCTCCGGTACGCGTTGCAATTGAGGCAGATGTGTCCGGTACGAGTCGACCCAAGAATCGCCATTAACATGGACCCCACTACGCCGAGGACCTTCGACAACGCTTATTTCAAGAACCTTCAACAAGGAATGGGTCTATTTAGCTCCGACCAGATCTTGTTCACGGATCAACGGTCCAGATCTACCGTTAATCTCTTCGCCTCCAACGAAGGAGCCTTCCGACAAGCTTTTGTCTCCGCCATTACCAAGCTGGGTCGCGTCGGCGTTCTTACCGGTAATGCGGGTGAGATCCGGAGGGACTGTACACGTGTCAATTAGAGATTGGTTGCCGCGTTTTTCCCCGCTCTTTTCTTCTTTTGGAAATTCCTGGGTTTTTCTTTCGTGTTTCTTATTTTGTGTTTCTAGTTTCCGAACACAAGGAATGGAATTGGAAGACGACATTGGCAGATGTTGTAGCGGAAATCAGAAGGAATAATGACGAAATTTCGTCTTTCTATTTTGTGTTTCTAGTCTCCGAGCAGAAATAAAGATGGATTTTTTTTTACTCTTTTTCTTTTTCTTTTCTTTTTATTGTGTTCCGTTTCACGTGCCACGCAAAGAAAAAAATATATATATATAATATTATTATGTTGAAGCCAATTTACTCTTGTATTTTACTTAAGTTTGGTCCTAGAAGACAAGTTTGCATGAAGAGGATCAAGAGATCGGTCCATATAATATATGGGCCTGGGCCTTTTCCTTTAAAGTGGGCTCCACCTAATATTAGTAACTGTAGGCATTTTGCTAAAAAAAAAAATATTGTTTCAAGCATATATTTTGGTATTGGGCTTCTCGTGGACGGACCCAAAACAACCCTCCGACCTAATTTTTTTTTTCATATTGTTTTCCTCCCTCAAAAATAATTAAACGGAATCATGAACTAAAGTAATATCGAAAATATGAGAGCAAAAAAAATAGGGGTGTAAAATGGGCGGGTCGGGCCGGATTCGGACCGGGTTCAATTCGGGCCTATAATTTTTCGGGTCGGGCCGGTCCGCCCATTTATTTTTCGGGTCTAGGATCGATGGCTCGGAGCTCGGTTCTACAGGGCTTCGGGCGGGTTCGGGCCGGACTTCGGGTTTTTTTATTAAATAAATTTTTTTTTGCGATAATAATAATAATAATAATAATATGAAACATTTAACAAAAATATTTTTAAAACCGATAACAACAAAGTTATTTAGTTCACAAATAAAAATAAAATTGAAAAAATTATCCAATTGTTCAATTCTCCAACACCACAACATGCGATTAAAAACTTTTAAACGTGATAAAATAACAAACATAATATAAAAAAAAATTCTATAATGTAATTAATTTAAAACCTATAGAAAAAAATCAATACGTTCATATACAAACAAAGGTTTAAAAATATATATATTTGAAAACTTCTACCCTTTCTAAAATGTAAACTTATATATATTATATATGATATAATATGGTTAAGAAATTCAAAATTCCCGTCACTTTAAAAAGTTTAATTGGAACCAAGATATA